GCCATTTTGGAAAGTATCCACTGAACGCAAACAGCGTATGCCATTCTGTGTCAGCTGCATCACGCGGATGTTTTCTACGTTGTTTACGCTTTGATTTGAACGAAAACAACATATCTGCGTTCAGTGGATACTCTCCAAAATGGCGCTACGGTGACGCGGAGGAGACGAATTGTTGAATAAAGTCGTTATTTTGGTTTTCTATTCTTGTAGCTTCGTAAAATTATGATTGAACCGGAGGGTCAGAGAGCTCTCAGAACTCATCAAAAATATCTTAATTTGTGTTCCGAAGACGGGTTTAGAACGACATGAGGGTGAGTAATTAATGACAGCATTTTCATTTTTGGGTGAACTAACCCTTTAAAAATAATTAAAATGGAAAATTAATGGAGACGAGCAACCAGCATTCATGGGTTAGGAATAAAAAGAGAGAATCCAGAATTTTCATTTCTCGGTGAACTACTGTATTCTTTTAAGTGCTGAAGTTCTACACATGCGGTTACAGGTTCTGAATGCTTTTAGAAGTTTGCATTGATGATAATATCTTTATTTGTGGACACAATGGACACATAGTCGATGATTTAAAAATGTGTCTCTCTTTTAAAGTGACGTGACATGTGGCTAAGTATGGTGACCCATACTCAGAATTTATCCCATCCAAAGTGCACACACACAGCAGTGAACACACACACACCGTGAACACACACCCAGAGCAGTGGGCAGCCATTTTTGCTGCGGCGCCCGGGGAGCAGTTGGGAGTTCGGTGCCTTGCTCAAGGGCACCTCAGTCATGGTATTGAAGGTGGGAGAGAGTGCTGTACATTCACTCCCCTCACCTACAATCCCTGCCGGTACGAGACTCGAACCCGCAACCTTTGGGTTACAAGTCCGACTCTCTAATCATTAGGCCACGACTTCCCCAATTTAAGGGTAAGTTTGGCTATCAGACACACTGACAGCATATTCTACAGGGGCCGTAAGTGATGGATGAGAGGGGAGCGCTTGCATAATTCACAGAGAATTAACAAGGGAAGAAGAGAAGTGGCATGTAGTAGATTCTGTTCTGCAGACGACAGGAGCTCATCTCAGGTCGGAAGTACACACAGATGCGATCAATGCTTTCAACACACCAAAACCGAAGAAAATTGCCAACCATGTTTTGATGTCAACACATGTAGCACAATACCCCAAAAGTTTGAGCACAAAAAATGGCTCTTGATTTCTGTGACAGCAGTCAGGATATTAAATAAGAGTCTTAAAGCAAGCTTGTGCAAGCATTACTCCTTTATCTAACCCTAATCTTCCTCAATATGCTAGTCTCAGCTATAAACTAAATAAAACGTTATTACTGTATTACACACAGTAAGACCAGAAATGTGAATTAAGAAAGCAAACAGGGTCCATTTTGATTCCATGTTGGCTTTAAAGACTAAATACTCTTAAAGACTGAATTTAAGCATAGCCTGACGGGAAGAGGCCTAAAAACTGGATTTTCACAGCTGGAATCATCACATCTGTCTATGTGTTCTCTGGCTTTAATCTCTGATTTATTCCCTTCTCTCGCGATCCCTCCCTCCCTTTCTCTCTCCGCCTCTGTCTCCAACCAACCCCCCATTCACTGATGCATCGCACCAGTCCTGTTGAAGGCTTCTTGTCTGTGCATGAGAGGAGGGTCTGGCTCAGCGAAACTCCTCTGCTGTCTATTGTCAGAGAAGAAGAATGCCTTTACACTGTCAATATAATCTAGAGTTTGCACTAGCTGCATTGCCTTGGAAGACAAGTGAAAGAACTGTAACAGTTCACAATGGAAAACGTTTGTAACTGTGCAAAAGCCTAGTTTAGACAGTAGGTTTCCACTGTAAGCATTTCAGTCGTGATGATTCTAGAGAAATAACAAATTGTTTGTTAATGTATAGTTCTCCAAAAGAAATGTGTACAGGATCCTTTAGGATTGGAACTGATCCTAAAGGGATACTGTATGAATTGCAACTCATAAAGTATGCATTCTAAAAGATTTAGGTTTTTCTCAAATGTCATAATATTAAAATAAAGTTCCAATTAAGATTGGTTCCGAGTTATGATTGAAGTTGAATAGCTGGTTGATTTTCACCTTGTTTTGTTAGAAATACATCTTAATGTATTCAACATTATATTAGACCACCACATTCAAATAATGCACAAATCTAAACTGTCAGCTCTTATACTGATGGAGCTTGGCGGACTAAACCACCAGCAGAAAATCTTCTTAAAGTGTTAGTCTGACTGCTCATCTATTTTTAGCTCAAATAAAACACTACAATCAGTATTTTGCATTGCTATATCTGTGTTACACATGGAAGATGCCAGCATGACTGACACACTTATGAGAAATAAGCATTTGGACTTGCACAGGATTGCTAAAGGGATTTCCATCATAATTTGGCACCGATCCTAATGGGATCAAATAAAATCCTACTTCATAAACTGTAACTCCTAAAGGATTTTATCATGTATTTTTGATCCTTAAGAGTCCAATGTGTTCTGGAAGATTTAGTATATATTGGAATCAGAAAAAAAAAATCCCATTAGAATTGGTTCCACGTTATAATAAAAATTCTAATAGAACTAATGTACATATTTTTTTTATCAATCCTAAAGGATGCATACAGGATCTAAAACAGGCATCTGCTGGATAAACTGCAATTCCTACTTATTCGGTTTCAGTTTATCCAAGCTGACTTATTAAAGCCAAACCAGGATCCTTTAGAACTGTTTCCAAATAATTCCTTTAGGATGTCTGACTCTATGTGCACCTGAGAGAAGGCGATCATGTGATGAGATATACCTTCAGTTGCATAGTTGTGGTCGCGAAGGAAGCTGTTGTTGATCTTGCGGGTGTCTATTTCCTCATCCATTTAGAAAGGCGCTGATTACACTGAGAAACGCAGAGAGAGAAACGCGCTATCTATCCACGTTCCGCGCTCATGCATGCGTTCAGCCCAGAGCCCGGCGCGCAAGACACGGACGCACCATCATATTACACAGCAGTCGCCCTGAAACCCGTCAATAAATGAACAACAGTGCGATGAGCGAGAAAGCCGGTGTCGGGTCGCAAGGTGTCACAAGGCGGGGCTGTCTGCAGCAGACCGTGATTTCATCCAAAATGACAACAATCCGCGTCCAAATCCATGCTTTGAAATAGGCTGTCATGCAAAGTCTGACAAGTTTGAGATGTGACCGGCGGTGCTGACGCGAGGCTGCCGGGGACGCGGCGCATCGGTTGAAGTGTGAGACTGGCGCTGCAACAGAGACTCCTCCCCCTCTGTCCACCTGCGTCAGCATCACTCCGGCCTGTGCGCAGACGATGATCTTATGTGTGATGGTGTTTCAGCACTTGTTGAATTATGCCCATGTGCATCACTTGTATAATAATTATGATTATGATGATGAAGCTCCTGCTTAAAAAAAAGCAGTGTGGCGGTACAGCTATTAGATAAAAATGGTACTTGGGTAGCTGACGGGAGCTTGCAACACTCTAAAGAGAAATGAAAAAATGAAATCGCATCATATGACCCCTTTAAAGGGTTAGTTCAGCCAAAAATGAAAATTCTGTCATTAATTACTCGCCCTCATGTCGTTCCAAACCCCTAAGACATTCGTTCATCTTCCGAACACAAATTAAGATATTTTTGATGAATTCCGAGAGCTCTCTGACCCTCCCGTAGACAGCAAGGGTATTACCATGATAAAGGTCCAGTAACGTAGCATGGACATTGGTAAATTAATCCATGTGGCATCAGTGGTTCAACTGTAATTTTTTGAAGCTATAAGAATACTTTTTGTGCGCAAAGATAACAAAAATAACGACTTTATTCAACCCGACGTCAGCTGACGTTGATATTTTGTTGTTTTTAGGTTGTGTAACCAAAATCCAATGTTAAGTCAACGTCAAATTGACGTCAAATATTGACATCAACCCGATTTTCATTTTCAACCAAAATGCAACGTCTGTCTGACGTCATGTCCAACGTCAACATAGACGTCCGGTGCCTGCTGGGTAACGACGTATGCGCGTGCTTTCATCTGAACACTCAGCAGCATCACATGCATACGTTGTTTACGTTCAGATCAAAGCACATGGAATTCATTAAAAATATCTTCATTTGTGTTCTGAAGATGACTGAAGGTCTTACGGGTTTGGAAAGACATGAGGGTGAGTAATTAATGACAGAATTTAAATTTTTGGGTGAACTACCCCTTTAAATGTGAAGTCAGAATTTGGATAGCTCTTTTCACAATACTCAAAGCAGGTATATATCCTTATATACTGTATTATGTATTAATTTATTTTACATTTTTACTTTTATTTTACATTCTGCGACGCTATAAATGATCACACAGATTTGCTATATAGTAGCCTGCACTGTATTTTGAATGTTTTGTATGTTAAAAAAAAAAATGGTATTACATGGTTGTAATGGGTATTCTGAGTTTGTGTTCTGTTTGGGTGACGTTTTGTATTATGGTTCGTTTCTGTGTCTCAGTTTTCAATCAGTTTCTTGTGTCTTCAGTTAGTTTCCTTGTTTGTTTGTTTTATCTGTTGCTATGGTGTTTCATTGTTTGATTAGTGTCTGCACCTGTAATCCATTTCATTGGCTGGTTTGGTCTGTGTATTTAAGTTCTGTGTTTTCCTCAATCCCTTATCTGTCTTCGTTAGATATTGTTGGGTTGTTCTGTTTGTGTTCTGTCAGCTCTAGTCACCTGAGTATCTTGTTATTTTTTTATTAAAAGATTTGCTGCACTTAGATCCTGACTTTTATCATCTTTGCATGCACCCAATGCTGACAAAGGTACATTTTTTATTATTATTGTTGAATCATTCAAAGGCAAGCGAGTAGCATTCATACATTTCTACATTAATGTGTCCATTTTCGTGTGTATGCAATTTTCCTGCCAATGCACCTCTAAAAACTGTGATTTCTTAATATCGCATTTGCCTGATTTTTGACAGTGCTAAAACATTTACAGCCTGCACAGGTTATATGACACATCACTGCCCTTGAACTGCATGCAAAATGAGTCAAAAGCATTATCTCTATTCCTCCATAATACAGAGCAGTGAAGCATACACCTCAGATCTTCTCTTACTGGTTGGTGACCACTTCAAATCCCAATCCTATATTGTGTGTCACTATGTGGCGAATGAAATCCTCTCTTCCTCAAATCCCTTTAATTAGAAGATAACAGGGTACACCAACCCCCTGGAGTAATCTTAATACTAGTTCTGGTGGAATTACAGAAGATTATTTCTGCTCAGTCAATAGACGTTTAAACTCAGTCACAGTCATATTCTTATAGAAAGCTGACGATAAGAAATGTACTCAAAGACTCTAATTACGACTTCTGTTGTTGATTACAACAATATTGAAACTGTATCCAAAGTTCCAAAGTACATTTTTTCTTGCATTTTAGAGTGTTCATTTTGAATTTTTTGATATTTCAAAGTGCTTCAATATTTTACCTGAAAATACTGTGCTGATACAGTATTTACAGCAAGAATTTTTATAATGAATATTTTTGAGGAAAAGGAGATTTAGAGTAAGTCTGTGAGAACAAAAATTCAAACTCAAAATGAGCAAAATCCAATGCAGAAAAGTAAAAAAAAAAAAAAGTGAATAATATGGTAATATATAATAATTTTGAATAAATACCAACTAACAGCATGTTCATTGTTCATCATTCATTATTACCATTAAAAAAAAGGGCGGGCATGGATTGGTTCTATCCATCTGTTGTTGATTGGACAACACGTTCTCACTCCCAACTCGTCACATATTGACGCTTGGTCAGGACCCCTTGGCGTATTTTTGACGCTCAAGGTACCCCTTTAGTGTCATTTTTCGACACAGGGTATCCTTTTTTGCATCACTTTTCGACGTGCAATTAAAGCATGTCAACATATTCTGTTACACCATATACACAAAATAATGATCTTTAAAAAAGCATCATATGACCCCTTTAACGTACTCACATCTCATTCAAAGATACTCCCGTCCCGTAGCATGACGCAATCGGTCACGAGACACACAAGAGCCAATAGCATTTCACAACCAAGGCTGACGTAAGGCTTCTTCTGGCGGCATTTTTTTTAAATTTGCGCACAGACTGCACACAGGATCTGAGCTTTATGGCGATCGCGTCTATTCCTCTCACAAATCAATCGTTTTGCCTCAGAAGACTTAGAATATTAATACTTTTGGAATAAATTATGACTGTAGTTGTATCTGCCTGTTATATCTTGTGTTATTGACAAATGGTAGGTTTAGGGGCAGGGGTTGGGTTACCTGCTCATAAATGTGTAAATAAAACTGTTGTGACTGTTTACATTGAAAAATCACACGCCAACATATATGCAATAATGGCAATATTATTACCCAATATATCATTTAATAAATAAAAAAATAATAATAATAAAATTCCCTTTGCCTTTCGCCTCGGTATACTGATGCCAAGGGTTTCTTATTTAAAGAAAAATCGACGCGTTTCAGAAAGGCGGGGCATAGAGGAGAAACAATAATGTACATGTGGAAAATAATGTGTTTTTTTAACCTTAAACCGCATAAACACATGTCATTACACCAAATACTCAAAATAATGTTCTTTTTAGCAACATCATATGACCCCTTTAAAGCAATGGAGAAAATGACACTTAAGGGGTACCTTGTGCGTCAAAACGTGACACCAAAGGGTCCTGACCAAGCGTCAATATGTGACAAGTTGGGAGTGAGAATGTGTTAGATTGAAAGGAGGAAGATCTGAATGTGAGATTGTAGTGTATTGTAAGAAAAGAGCAGGGTTTAAACAGACTAAAAATTGGATTATGATATCAGTCTTTCAGGGGCAACAACAGGTTATTTTATCAACATGCATTATGCAATCCATAAACCTGCTATACTGTTTGATTAATGCACCTGGGTATATTCTGGTAAAACTGAATGAATATTGTTTTTGTGAGTTTGAGCACCTGTCTGGCAGCTGAGAGGCTACTGGGTTGTAAGGCATGAATTGCAGTGACAACCGAGCTCAATCCCAGCGGATATCACTGGTGTTCTGGTAATGGGTGCTATGGAGGTCAGCTCAATAGTGTCAGCAGCAGCCCTCCTTGGAGCATATGGTGAGATAGAAGTGGCAGACGGACACACACACACACACCGGTCTATATGGTCTAGATATGATTGTTATCATGCTCTTTCCATGTTAATGATAGCGAGTGCTTTATAGTAAAGAAAATTCACCCCAAACTGAAAATCCTTATGTTGTTCCATGTTTTTGCTTTTTTCTCTGTGAAACATAAAAGAACATGAATGAATCTGGTATCAATATTTATAATATTCACTTCATACCATTTATGGGGAAGGAAATGAACAATATTCCATATGTTTGTTAGAAGTAAACTCTACAGTAAGCTACCTTTTAATTTAGAGCCCTATGAAATCAGTCTTATTTTTTCCCCCCAAATTTTATTTTTTCGAGATTCTGTTTTATTATTTAATACAAATTTATCATCAAAAATGGTAATGAAATGAATTCATAAAACTTTAACAATTTAAGGCGTGAAAGAAAAATGGTGAAAATGGTATTTTTAATGAATAGATATCATCATACATTCCCCTGTTAATTAATCACAGTACATTAAGACAATTGTTTTATATTACAACTTTTCTAAAATGCTATGCTGCTGATATGCAAATAAGGCATTATCTAATTAAATAAATTTGCATATATAGACCTACCTTTCCGAAACAGAGATCTGAACACTGGATATGCAGGTTCAAAATTCTTGTTTCATTTTGTCTACAAATTAGACTTTAAGGTTTTTGCAGAGGGAATTTTGGATATCTGTTTTTATCACCCTATAAATCAGGGGGAAAAACCAGGAAATTAATATTAAGGAAATAATAAATCAGGCTAATAATACAAGCCCCTCTGTAAAAACCTTTAGAATATAAATAGGAATAAAGCTGTAATAAAGCTGTTTTTATGTAAGTGTGCCTGAAGTGGAGATTTCTCAGTACTCATATACATATATATTTTGAGAAAATGGCCTATAAAAATATGTATTTATTTATAATATGTATTCCTCATTTGTAAGTCGCTTTGGATAAAAGCATCTGCTAAATGACTAAATGTAAATGTATAAAGCATAATATATTTAATATATACTGTAAGTAACATATAATTAAGTGTAAAATAAAAACTTAAATGTGTATTTTAGATGTTTTCTTTCCACTAGTTGAAAGA